TCCGTGAATACATCTAATAACGCATCTGGTGGTGGCGTAATTGCGCCTAATTGCTCATTCATATATAAATCTGCCACGGCAGTCATTAGATTAGCTGCGAAATGTGGTGCAACCATAGGAAGCTGCTTAAATTTCTCAGAGGTTTTGCGTGAAAATGTTATAAAATCACTAACTAAACTCTGTGCTACTTCCAAACTTGGTTGATTCGTGCAACCGACTTGTTGCATCCATGTGCCTGCTGATGAGAGTAGAGGTGCAACCGAACCCGAAACAGCAGTGCTTACCAATCGGCAGAGTATTTTGGATCTTTGCGGTGTGAGATTACTACCAAAGAGTGATAGAAATACTACGTTTCTTGTAGCATCTGGCCCAGGCTGCGAAAAAAACTCAATAAGAACGAGTATGAGTTGAAACTCTTGAAATGAGTTCATTTGGACGCTGGAGAATGGTTGACCTTTGCGGATGTCTAGGGCGTCTTTGGGCCGCTCCATAAATACAAACTCGGAGATAAGTTGAATGGCAAAGTTCTGTTTGCTGCGGCTCACGACGATGCTTTCTGAAATTTAACAAACGTCCGAATTTGATATTTTCCGTATTTTTACGGGCACAATTTTTACCTATACGGGGAAGGGCTTCCTTGGCGCAAGCCGGAAAATCCAGCTTCCGTAAACTATGTTTAAAATCTGCTTGCGACATTTTTTTCTCCAACAAAATCAATAAATGTAAACAAATAGATATGATAAAAACCAGCTGTTTTGGAACTATCATGAGGCATCGATAGTTTTTCGTAGCTATCGATACTATCGAAATTTTGGCTGCGTTTCTTTATACATTCCGGATAATCCCATTTCATAGCCGGAATAAACAGAATGCGTTTGAAATATACGTCAACATATCATCAGGAACGTTCTAAAGAATAAATAAACAAAAAAGTTTATTCCAAACGTTCAGAATGAATAAAGAAATGCAGCCATAGTGTCATGAACGAAAGACACAAGATCACGTAAGAACAGGAGAGTGAAAAAAGTCGATTTTTTTAGCGGGTTCTACGCCATCTTGTTTCACTGGAAAACGAGCGAAAAGTAAACAAAGCAAAGAAAACAACGGAAACCAAAATTATTGTCAGCCACTTTAAACGCACAATTTAGATAAAATGATGCAACAAAATGCTTTAAAATGTGTTGTCATGTTGAATTAACTCTTCTTTACTTGAATAAAAGTGTAAAATAGTGGTGAATGTGATGTAAACAAACGCTCAGCTGACGAACCCGCTTTCGCAAACTTTTTTCTCAAAACCAGTTACAAATACAACGTCGCGTTCTTACGTGATCTTGTATTTTTGGTTCATGGTATAGTGTACTTGAGTGTCGACGTTCAGACACGAAAACTTTTGTTGCGGAAACTCGAAGCTTGTTGGGGAGAGAGCGACGAGGAAAGGGGACGGGTACCGAGTCGTCCGTACTCGGGAAACACGCTTTGTGCCCTCGTTCGTCTGAGTATTTCAAGTTGACGATTCACAGCTGACAACAACAATTGCGTACAAAAAAGTTTCTGTGTGTGAATGCAAAGGGCAACACCAAAAGAGAAATCGCCGATAATAAGAAACTCGAGTTTCCGTGTTTGAACGCAGACTAAATGTGTCGTGTACATGTTTATTTATAAACGTATGTGTTCCTTTTCTTTCGTACGTGTTTATTGATATATCTGTACTGTAGTGTTTTCGGATGGTACTAGCTCTTACTGCCAGTATAGGAGTATTACATATATGGCTTTTTCCTTTCTAAAACAAAGAACGTAAATGTACAAAGAAAGTAAATGTAAATACCATGATAAAAACATAGCAAGGTATAACCGTTCTCTCAATTTGTCGGCCATGATTTTTTTTTGAAGTTTGCCAACATTTTAAAATCATATAAAAGTGAAAATAAAAAATTGAAATTGTTCGAAATTGTTGTTGCTTGAGATTGAAAATGAAAATGTGTGTGTGAGTTTGTGAGTAAATTTAAAAATTAAATTGTTTGGAAACGTCAAGAATCTTAAAAGTGACTCTCAGCGGTTCTACCTTACTATATTTGTATCATGGTAAATACATACATTTACGTTCTTTGGAGGTAAGAAGCAGAGATAAGAAGCCACTTTGATGGGTTTTTGAATCCGCTCTTGGTAGCAAAGAAAGTTTGCTGTGGCAGCCCTGGTGCCTCTGTGTTTCGAAAATATCAGCTCGTTTCTGTGTACTTGCAAGTCGCAATTATTTTGCGATCTGCCAGCAACTTTTTGTGGCGCTACTTTCGTTTGCTTTGCGAAATAGTTTTTACTAAAGTGCGGACAATCTTCTAATCGAGAGAATGAGTTCAACTGTTGTAACACAACAGCGCCCCCTTGGCTTTATTGGACTTCATACCGAATTTACGGTAAGTTTCTAAAAATCTTGATAAATGTGCGGCACTTCAATGTTTTCCTTTCACAGAAAGTTCTGCAAGAAGCGTTCCAAAAACAAGACGCCCATATTTTGCGCGCTTCCTATGAATCCTTCGGAGCCAATACCGACCATGATAAAAAGTCGCCAATGGACCAAGCGTTTCGTGAAATGCTACTTTTCCGCTTAAGTGACGAGGTTGAAAAAGTGGGTGCTCTTGTGCGTCTTTCAGTTGAAGCAGTACGTGCTGAAATTGTCTCAGTTACCATACCCGTTGTGTTGCTGGGAGACATTTTCGATGCGGTCACTTTAGATAAATGCGAACAAATCTTTAGATTCGTTGAAGAAATGGTTGAAGTGTGGAAAGAGGACATATTTTTCTCGTCATGCAAGAATAACATTCTCAGGATGTGCAACGATTTATTGCGGCGTTTATCGCGGGCACAGAATACAGTTTTTTGTGGTCGTATATTGCTATTTCTATCTAAATTCTTTCCTTTCTCTGAACGGTCTGGACTCAATATAGTTTCGGAATTCAATTTAGACAATGTTACTGAATATGGTGTCGACGGCAAAGACCTGGATGATACTGTCGAAGACACCGTTGAAGATATTCCCATCAAAATTGATTATAATTTATATTGCAAATTTTGGTCGCTTCAAGACTTTTTTCGCAATCCCAATCAGTGTTACAGCAAAGCCCAATGGAAAATGTTTCAAGCGGTGAGTTTTTTATGCACTATTACTAAATTATTTGTGCATTTGTATGTTTTGTTCGAATTCCCCAATAGCACGCTGGTACAGTGTTAGAAGCTTTTGATAGCTTCAAGCTAGAAGAGCCACGTGTAAATAGCGCAGGAGAAAAAACCGAAAATGCTTTAACGGCTGCTGATTATTTGGAAAGCATGAAAATGGATTTGGATGCTTCTGAATTTGCAGCAGAAGTGGATAATCCAAGTTGTAGTGAAGTAAATAATCAAAATGTGCGCCAGTCCGATCACTTCTTTGCCAAGTTTCTGACAAATCCAAAGCTGCTGACCCTACAATTATCTGATTCCAACTTTCGACGTTCAGTCTTAGTGCAGTTCCTGATTCTGTTCCAATATCTTCAATTGACTGTTAAATTTAAGACGTAAGTTGAAAACATAGCATCTACCAAATCCAAAATATTTGTTTCAATTTTTAATAGTGAATCAAATACATTGACCACCGCGCAAACAGATTTTATCAAAGAAACAGAAGCAAAAGTATATAAATTGCTCGAAGATACACCACCTAATGGAAAGCGTTTTTCTCGCACCGTCCGACATATGTTAACTCGCGAGGAAATGTGGAATAACTGGAAAAATGATGGGTGTAAGGAGTTCCGCAAACCCGACGACGCTGAACCAGAGACTACCGCAAATAAGGACGCTGGAAGTAGTGATGTCATCTCTACCAAACCACCAGCATCCAAGCGTGCCAAGCGCACCCTAGGGGACAGTTTAAAAGATGCACACCGCAATAGCAAATTCTTTCTGGGAAAGTACGTATATGTCCCCCTTAGTTTTTAAACCGAATTTTACTAAGTATTTCTCACTCTAAACTCGTAGTGATGTCTTGACACGTCTCTGGAATTATTCGCCTGACAATCTGCAGGCATGCAAAAGCGAAGAGCGCAATTTCTTACCAAATGTCGAAACATTCCTTGAAAATCCGCATGAAAAGAACGATCCATCTTTTGAATGGCGCGCACTTCGGTTGCTAGCACGCCAGTCGCCACACTTTTTCACATTCTTAAACTCGCCGTCATACAAAATAGCTGACTACTTGGAGGGCGTACGACGCCGTTTGGCCAAGGATCGCTTAGACAACGCTAAGGCAGCTCTGAACGCCAACAACGTGACATCAGTTGGTGGCAACTCAAACACAGAATCTGTCATTGCAGGCGAATCAAATAGCGAACAGGGGTCTAATCCTCAAGAAGCAGAGGGTGAAACAGATGTTGTTGGTGTTGGTGACGGTGACAATGACGGCGACGGTGAGGGCGATGGCGATGCAATGCTAACCGAAGAAGATGTTCAAGGTGACTTGGACAAAGGCGATGATGATCGGAACGCACACACCAAACCGGTGACGGCAACCAGAGAACAAATAGAAGAAATCGCACCACTCATTGGTGACGACTGGAAGAAATTGGGCAAAAAATTGGGCTACACTGTTGATGAGCTACTCTACTTTGAGACGGAGCATCCAGATCGCGATGGTGGCTGCATCGCAATGCTGAGTAATTGGTTTGCCGATGACGATGATGCCAGTCTTGATAATTGGGCCTATATGCTTGAAGGTTTGGAAATAAATGCCGCTGCAAAGGCGGTGAAAGCGCTGATAGACCGTCTTACACCGAAAGACGACAAAGTGGAGGTGCTGTCAGATTAGTGCGAAAGCTATTTAACATTAGGTATAGTTGTAAACTGAAAACGAAGATCACTTCAGTATTCAGTTTTGATTTAGTTTATGTTTTAATAATATTTCAAAAGTCAAGTTTACAATAATAATTTATCACATGTACAGGGTGTGAATATGCATTTCGCTGTCTACATTAACATTAATTCGTCATATAAAATCTCGGCGGCCCACGCAGACAATTGGCCTTTTTGTTGAAGCACCCTCAGCCAAATGGTCAACGATTCTGTCAGCAATGCACCAAAACTCCATCGTTGTTAGTTTCTATGAGATTAAATGTAGCAAAAGGCTGATTTATTTAGTAAGTTTGAGCGCACCGACTTCAATTTATCTTCGTCTCGGTGCCGTTTTACCCGGCTTCGGCTTGTTGTGTAACATAGTGGCGCAGCGCGGTATATGCCGCTCAGCTGCAGACTCGTTAAAGCGACGCAAGCAATGTGGACACTGTATATAGTCGGGGTTCTCCGAAGGTGGTGGTGGTGGCAAATCACTTAGCTTGCCACCACGGGCTAAATGCGCCTGTACCTGCTTGGCGGCACGAATAGCTTGTATAAACTCCTCATGTTTCTTTCGCCAGTTATTCTTCTTCATACTGCCTGACATGCCACTTACAGCAGCAGCACTGGAGTATCCGGATTTAGTGTTGGCGTTATTACGAGATTGTGCTTTTTTCACATACTTTTCGGCGTCGGTGCCTCGTAAACGATGACGTGCCGCGTCAAAGATCTTACGCTTGGTATGCGCCATTTTCTCGCAAATCTTCTCATGCTTCGGAAGTCTTTCCATATTGAAATGGCGATTGCAATAGCAGCACAGACCACTGTTGCCCGCATCTATGTTAGCTTGCGTTCGGTTACCCTACGAAGATATAAAAAAAAGCAAATTATAAATTGTCATCTCGAACAGGTTATGCTCGTCGCGCTTACTGCAGTAGTAGCCATATTTCCCGAAGTGCTCCTTGGTGGAGTCTAAAAGTCAGTAAGGAAATATATTAACCGAAAATTTCAAGTCAATTGGGAAAACTCAAATCCGACGCGTGAGAATCTTTGAAAAAAATGCCTACCTTCGTAGTAGTTGCTGCAGTGGGTTTTGAGGTTCTGAGGGTGGAACTCTGCTTTGGTACTGGCGTTTTTCGTACAGCAGCAGCAGTAGCAGATGTATTTACTGGTCGCTTGGAGATTTGTGCAGCTGGTAGTGGTATTGGCGAAGGTGATTTTTTTGTCACAACTGGATTTAGTTTTAGACTGTTTGATGATTTGGCACGGCCCAGAACCTCGTTGTCCCTATTATTATTGCGATCATCTGGCGAGTGTAAGCCCAAGCTGAGTGAAGACATTTCCTTCGACAGCGCGTCGGCGTTGCCGTTTAGCAGGCGCCTTGGAGGATTTCGCACATTTGTGGAAACACTGTTTGCATTGACTACGCCGCGTGGCTTAACCGACGCAATGTTGCCATTTCGTGCTTGATTTGAATTGTGTATAGCGCCACCGACTTGGCGAGGAATTGGCGCCGGTGCTTTAGACGTAGAACTGATTGGCTTCAGAGGATTCGCCCGATCGATGCCTGCGCCACGTCTTCGTTCATCGAACATTTGACGCACCTACAGCAGTTGCAGGGAAAAGTATTAAATCATAACAAAAAATGTGCGTACATATAGATTAATAAGAGCTGCATACTTAGCTACCTTGCCGTTTGTAATGCGCTTTGGACTCCTAATTTCATCCGTGGAGCTGGCACCCTCGTCTGTCATCTCCAGGCGTCTATGCTCACGCTCCTGTTGCTGTTTTTGTTGAAAACGCATCTGCAAAATATATTGAAAAAAACGAGATGTCAAATTTTAATTTTATTTCCGATTTGCTCCATAACTCCAGCCTTCAGTGTCAGTTTAAGTTTAGTAACGGTAAAATCAAATAGGAGTCATTCTAATATACTCCACCATGTGATAAAATGCTGAAACATGCTATACTTATCGATTTTGTTAAAACTCACGTCGAACGATGAGTTAAAGTCTGCTGGCGGCAGCTGACTAAGTGCCTCAACTAATCTACGTCCTGCCCATGAGTCGCTGAGCTTGACTGGCGGTATGATTGGATCATGCAAGTATTCATTATTCGGACTCATGGTCGTCATGTTTTTGGCGTTGCATCAATCAATTCGCTATCTTTATGCACATTTAGTAAGTATGCTTTTTATATACATACATACATATGTACATGCATATGGGATTTTATATAAAAAAAACTCTTAATCCAAAAGCGTTGTCATGCAATGTTCCTATGTATGTAGGTTTAAAAAATTTTGCCGCTACAAAATGATCAACATGTCCTTTCGGCGACAGGCAAAATAATACTAAATATGAGGACAACGAAGTAAATCGCTGTCTCTCATTTCCGAAAGGACAAGCAAACCATTTACGCCATTGAACTCATTACTCACACTTTATTTGTTCGTCGACAAATCAAATAGCTTACACCCACCCACCCAGCGAATGACCAGCGACTATAGTAATTACCAACAATAGCAAAAACATCAATCAAGTAGTAGCATGTCAAAACATCAAGTCACTCATGTATGTGGTCACACAACAAACACAGCACACATATTCAGAGTCGTTGCACTTACTTTGCTTCCAAACATGCGTTCCTTGCGCGCGCAAAGAAGACGCGCTAGCGAAATTGTCCAGCTATTCGAGTCCGTTTTGCTGACGCTGCCACCCACCACCCGATGAAAGCATACACCTACCCATACAATAATAGATATCTTTTTATAACAAAACAGAAGCCGCATATGTGGAAATTGATGGCAATTAATAGTCCAGCTCATTCACTCACAGCTTTAACGATTTATTTTCTTGTTTGGATCGCCAAATATTTTATGAGTACAATAGTGTCCGCTCAAGTGCTCTTCAAAGCACATAGGTATATACATACATATGTATGTTCTACATATTGGTCTTCAAGAAATTTGTTCAATACCCTGCTGCAATCACTTGATGTACTTGATGTGCGCTCTGAAGTATCTCGACCTTATGCCAATCGATAAAAGGCTTTGTGTCGATTTGAAGAAAGCTATTTAGCGTATGAAAATTAGAAATCTAAACACAATCACCATATCCTTCCACATGTATGTAGGTATATGTATGTATGCTGGTTCTAAAGTGAATGTATTGCGCTTGTGTTTACTTAACGTGTGCTTGTTCCGGGCAACGATGTCAATTGAAAGTACGTAGTATTTACGTTGCCATGGCCGGGCGGCGGTGCATATGGCCCACACTAATGAGCCGCACACTGTCATTGGCAAAATTTCTTACATACATATGTACATTTACAAATGTATGTTTATGTGTATGCTCAAGTGCATTAAAACTTGCTCTAGAATATCAAGGTATAATCAGTTATTTATTTTCTTGTTTATTTTCCAACTTAATGCATTAAGCTCCCATAGCTTAAAAATATACCATTTAATTAAAGTGAATGTGTGTTTGCAACTCAGAAGTGGAATATATATACATAATATTGTGTATGTTTGGCTGTGCACATCTCTGATTATTTGAAAGGGCAACTTAGTTCGAACTCGGTAATTACCAATATTTAAGATAATCAAGCAGGTCCCGCAATTAACTTCCGAGTGAATTTCAACTAATCTCGCTTTGAATTCAAAATTAGCTTTGTTGAATTTCACTCGGAAGTGAATTGCATATCCTGCGTGATTATCGATATAAATTGCTAATTTTTTGTTATGCTTATATACTTATGTGGTTCTACTAAGATTCTACTGAGCTGACATTGTAATCGCCTGAGCGATCTTGACCTAGTCTGGTAAAGTACGCCAGTCGTTTCGATTACCTTAAAATTGACGCTAAGTGAAATCCAATTTTTATAAACCAAGGCTCTCCAGAGCAGTGCAAACCTTCCACTTCATTTACCACCACCAGCGGAATCTGCGTTGAATATTGGGCTAGAGCGTTTGCGTTCATTCATACGATGCTAATTTATAAACATTCCGATGGCTTCGAGTTATGATTTTTTTGTATTAAAGTATTGTCTTCTAAAACGCGCAATAAATAATGAATTAGTTATACACAATAACGCAATGCGCTTTCTATCTATTGCCTAGGTGCGCCACTCCTACTTAGTTGTATGAAACTAATTTTAGCCGTCCCTTTAGTTGTCATATTCATCGAGGGTGTAATTAATTTCATTTTAATAAAGCTTTTGCCATAAGTGGTGCATACATATACAATGAGTATTAATTACTCCCACCGCCGAATTATGACCATATTTCTAAATATGTTGTACACGTCAAAATGTTAATTTCATTGTTTTTGCTCATTTTTCCTGTAAATAATTTGTCGACACCACAAATTCTAAAAGCTGCACGCGGCATAGCAAGAGACTAGGGATGTTGCGAATGTGGAATTTTAGACATTCGCGGATGCGGATGCGAATGCGGATGTCAAGTATTTTCCAGAAACAATTCGAATCTAGCATAATGGTGGGATCGTTGTTTAAACAACGCTTACAAGCCAATCAAGCTGTGTCAGGTTTTTCTAAAGCGTTTTAACAAGAATTCTTCATTCTATTTCTTTGGCTGTTTCAGAATTTGGGGCTCTGAAACTTCATCAGCGACTTTCGATTTTAGTTTTTGTAATTCATTTTTAATACTTTCTTCTGCGACTGGTTGAAAAATGTGTGCTTATGGCGAGCTAAATAGGTGGATATGCAAAATAAACTATTATATTCCAGGAATGAAAATTTTGAACAAATCGCTGTTTTCAAAGACTTGGCTACCAGCCGAATCGGATCAGAATATTATTTAAATTATTATTTGAATTATTGGAATTACGCATGATGAGGGCCTCAGATAGTTACGTAGATCTTATCTAATTAAAGGTCAGACCTATAGCTTTTTAATTATTTGAGCATCGATTCTCTTTATAAAAGGACTATTTTTATAAGAAGACTATTTCTATGTTTATAAAGGACTATTTCTATTTATAAAAGGACTATTTCTCTTTATAAAAGCACTTAGTGCTCTTTGACGTACGTCAAAGGTCAAATAGAAGTGGAAACTGCCCATTGATAGCTCGATTATATAGCTTACGAAATAATAGGGCGATTCATCAAAACGCGCAAATGCTTCGTAACCATGTAAACCTCGTAAACTTACTTAATTTTGAATGAAAAACCTAATTATTTACGAAGTTTACGCCGTTACGAGGGATTTACGCGTTTCCATGAATACCCACAATATTTATGTTTAAAGACATTTTTAACAAATATTGGCTACAATTTGTAATTTTGTTTGCCATATATACGTTTTATCGGTGCACTTGCACAACATTCGCATTCGCATAAGCTCCGCGGTTGCGAATGCGAATATTCGCAACAACCCTGCAAGAGACCACTGGCTTTTAGATATACATACATATTTTCATATGTATGATTTTTCCGTACAATCAGAATCTGTCCTTTAAATTATTCAATTGGCTGTAGATTTTGAGATATCACGATTTAATTGGCCAAAAACGTAGTTTCGACATTTTTGGAACTCTTTTAGTTCCAGTCGTGAAAAATTAGATTCCTTAACTGGCTAACCAGAATGTAGTACCACGGCACCAGCTATTTCGCTAGCTACAGCAGCAATAATACACAACAACCACAGCTACATATTGTGGGCAGTTTAGAGTACTTAGAATATTTTAACTTTTGACAGCTCTTGCTACATACCACAGCCTCACCATTCTGGTTTGGCAGTAAACATAACTTGTTTACAGAATGCCAAACTTATCTTTATTTATTTTTATTTTTTCAAATTCATTTAAGCTTTGTACTGGTTCTCTCCAGATCTGAATTCAGTCGTCCAATGTTTTGAAAATTTGTGAATAATTGGAAAAATGTAAGTATGTTGAAATTTTGTACCCTTGGGTCATACACTACATTATATGTACTTATTTGCGGAAGAGTAAATTTTACCTTTAATGTTTTCATTGTTACAATTGAGAACATATTTTGAAATGCTTTTAATTACATATTAGCACCCACATTTGGTTATTTAAAAAAAATTTAGTGGTTGTGTTGAATAAATAGAAGATAATTTCAGATTGCTTTTGCCACATTTTTTTAGGAAGACAAAAATGGTTTTTGTGACTAATTTTTGCGGAACCATTTTTTTTAATCTTTTCGGGACAATATGGCTACATTACAGCTTTTTTTTTTGATGTTAAGAAAATTCCTCATTACATTTTATTCTACTACAAAAGTTTAAAAAAAAAAACTAGAAAAATGCGTTTTTGATAGTTTTGATCCCAAATATCTCGAAAACTATGGCCAACTGAATAATTTTTCGGACAGATCCTCACTCTACGGAAAAAATCCTACAGTAAATAGCTCTTAAAAGCTCTGCCTCAAATTTTTGTTGACCAGTGTTATCATTAGTAAAACGTAATCATTATATGTAGTCTACCTTACGATAAATGTATGATTTTTACGAGTTTGATTTAATAAGGGTCTAAAAATTAGAACAAAAAATATTGCCCACTCAAATCCAAAGCGCATCTTTGTTTTGAGTGATTTGTTGTTTTTTGTTGTAAATATAACCTACGTTTGAACGACTTAAGTAAATTAAGTGTTCTCATTAAAACAAAAGCTTGAATAATAAATATAAAGGGAATTATTCGCCGTCGATCGTTCTTCCTGGCTTACACAAGGTCGTTCGTTATGATGGTGGTTCAGTCAAATTCGGGATTAGCCCACAATAAGTTAATAAAGCAATCGGCTTAAAAATTTCAAATTAGTTTTTGCATCATTTCGTAACCAGGGACAAAGAACATATTCATCACATAACTACACAGCACAAAAGGTGTTCCGAGCCTCTTCAGAGCAGGGAGTTGTGTCCTGTACATAGATATGAGTGCATGCTAATCACAGTCAGGTGTTTGTCCTTCTAGAAGTGAGCCCCGTCTGCTCCCTGAAAGCAGGCAATCCACGACTACTTCACCTCAATGCATCCCGAAATATTCACCAGTGCCCGACGGTGGCTTCAATAGCTAGGAGTACCTAGCTTGAGGCTCTCTAACAAAAGGACAAATATCTGATTAAAGGCCGCATATTTTAGAGCCATTAAGATTGACAACTTACCCGCCCTGAAGTTGGCTATAATTAACTCCGCACGTGACATACTGACCGCCGAAATCGCCGTTGCGCCAAAAATTTGGTAACCCTGAACCCCAGGTATCGATATGTATGTATGGGTGAATTCCAAAACGTCAAAATACAAAGCATCAGTCTCTTTTATTTCTAGACCTCAGTAGATTTTAATGCCAAATCTGCGCAACCACGGTTAGATTTTAGTTTTCTACTAGGTTGCGCAAGTTAGGCTTTTTCTTCTAGTGTGGTTTAGAAATAAAAGAGACTGATGCTTTGTATTTGGACGTTTTGGAAAGCACCCTATGTATGTATGCATAAAAAACGTGAAATCGTTATTAAAACAACAGATTTGTAAAATACATAATAGCTAGAGAACATACAGCCTCTCAAGTCAATGCCTTCAAAGGAAAACAGTTTTTTCGCTCTCGTGTACAATATGAGGCCGCAAAAGGCAAAGGATGCAAAAGCATCGACGATATGCATTAAGTTTTATTGAGAGGCCTTTTTCATGGCAGAAATACGCTCGGATGGTTGCTATGGCCTTATGAACGGCATGTACATACATATATACCTATCCCAGTAGATAATTTCAGGAGTTAAAAGCCCTTCCTTTCTACATTTTTTTCTCCTTTCTGTTTTTTATATGGAGTGGCACAAATTGAATGGCATTGTCTTTCGTCGTATACCTTTGAAGTATTTGCTTAATGTTTTATCAAATATGTGTTACTGCAACTTAAAATATTTATTGAAATTCATTTGTGATGCTAAAGAATATAAATTTGTGTATTCGCTGAAATTTTAAATCGATAAGCCCTTCTAGAAGGCATACAAGGGAGCATTTTTTTCAGCCCTCTTGGGTAGGCCTCTTAGAATGGCTTCTTCTGGGATGTACATATCTACATTAGAGTGGTCCAAGAACAATAAAGTCGGAATTTTTATGCCGCCACCCGCTAGGATTGTTCCATACCGAAAACAAATATACCCATATTTTTTATTTTGAAATCAATTCAATTCAATTCAAATAGAAATTGTATACAATTCTTGAAAATCAATATTTTTTTATCGGAAAAATGTGGTTATCTTCAGGAGACTTCCAATATTAGCAATTGGAGCAATCCCAAAATTTTTGTTTATTTAAAATAATAAAAAATAGGGGTAGATATATTTGTTTTCGGTATGGAACAATCCTATAACATCATATATATAACATACATATATATTACACATACATATATATATATATGTATTACATATATACATATAACATACATATACATTTATATATACTTACATAAATATAACTTTCTTTATTTCAGCTTGTGCTGACGTTGAGTAATTCAAAACTTTTTGATTCATTTATTAACAATAAACCAAGGCTGCCAAGAATTTTTTCTGTGAAGGTAAGATAACTGAGCTTTTGTCTTGATTTTGATAACTAGTATGTTGTTTGGGATAACCAACTAAAACATACATACATACATACGTGCATAGTAAATACATAAGTCCTACCTACATAAACGGGAGATTTAACCATACAAGGTTGACTGCGTGTCTTAACCGTCAACAAATAAAAGTACATCCATACATACATACATGCAGCTTAATCCGCTTCTATTATACATAGGCACGTTACTAGTTACCTATGCATATCCGCCCATTTAGGGAACGTGATACAGGCAGTCTGTTGTCGAACCATTGCTGCCACTGACGCTATTTTTTCCGCTGCTGTTGTTTGTGTGGGTCTATTGGGCCTGCTCAAACTTTCCGAAATAGGAGTAATTTTAATTAAAACAAAGCATGATTCATCTCAACAGAGTAGACATATGAGTTAGCATTCAGACATTTCACATAAATAGTTAAATGCATACGTATGTACATTAAGGTGTGTCACAATTTTAGTTTTGAGCTCATCACCTCAAAATGATTTTATTATGTAAGTAACACAGGCCTAAGATGGTACCTTCCTTAAAAACTAATAACCAATTATGGTATTAAGTACTAAGCTATTCAAAAAAATAATAAAAAAATTTCATAACCAGAATTGTGAGAAAATTCGTTATTCATTTTCCGTAATGTTGCCGCGAATTACTAGCGTTAACTTCGAATTTCCATAAGTCTTTCGGATTTACTTAGTCCTTAGGAGTATTTCTAACTAAAACTGTTATTTTATGAAATTTTTGGGAAGCCCACAGAAAAAATGAATAAGCAATATTAAATATTAATCTAAGAAAATTCATAAAAAATTCTATCACCTAAACTGTCCGAGAAAATTTTCGCGCTAACTTTGAATTTTAAAAACTCTTTCTGATTTACTTAAGCTTGGATCCCACTATCGGCGCAAATAGCACAATATGTACCGATTTACATCGTGTCTGAGTGGTACATATTTACATATTTTTTTTTGTGTTTTACCATTATCATCGCATTTTGTGACAATCTTTTTCGGTGCATATCGGCCAAACTAAATATGGTCACAGTATCGTCGCTTTTTTTACAATTTGAGCAAAATAGTGTTCACATTGTCTGTACAGCAGTATTAATTTTGGTTGTTTATAGTCAGCACAAGCTCGGCTCAGATTGCCGCATTTCGTAAAGTTGTGTTTGTTCACACAATCGTTACATGAAATGCGCCGAAAATCGGTCAATGGCGTCGATAATGGGATCTTAGTTTTAGTCTCTAGCGGCATTTTCGACTAATGGTGTTATTTTTTAAGTAAAAATTTAGTTTTAAATCAACTAATTTTGTTTTTTTTTCATGAAAATGGTTAGAACTTACTTTTATAATTTTCTTAGTTCGGCTGGGTATTACTAGCGTTTACTTGATCTCTTTAGAGGTATTTTTAAGTAATACTGTTTGTTTTTAAGTAGAGTTGTAAAACAATCGATAGTCATCCCATTCGATGTTTTCGATAGTTTTCATTTCATTCAATTTTAAAATGCTTTAACGAAGCTATTTACATATATAAACTTTTTAGTTTTGTTTAGTTTCTGAAGAATAAGCTAATTGTTATATAGCAATTTTCATTAACTTTATCCTTTCTCTTCGATATTTTTCTTCTTCGATTAAAAACCAATAGGAAAAAATTAAATTCCCAATCGTAAAAAAAAACAAATCGCTTGTAAACGTAAAGAAAACTGTATGTATTACAAAAAACTTCCATCAGTCCAACTCCGGCTACGCCACCGTATTTTTGCATAGAACTCACTACAAAATTTACGGAAAAGTCCATATTTCATGCTTGTGCTACAAGAACCCAAATCATTATACAAATAGCTGAACCATAGCCCGACTTCTGCATGATTATTTATCCATTCGAAGTATCAAAATGAAATACAAGCATCTTCTAAATTTGACTAGCCCTGGCTTATATCAATAGATTCTTCCGTCGACGCCGAATCACTAACACCATAGTATGCTTCCAAAAAGGTATTCAAACTAGTTTTTGCAAATTGAATTACACCCGGTTTACATGATTCAAGTACTTTAAAGCAATTCTTGTTCATTATCTTTTATGATTTCAATTTGCTTTTACACGCTTCAATTTTGTAAGTAACAGCCCTATTCGCGTGAAAAAAGTTACAAAATTTTTACTCACTTTTCCGGCGTTTGGTAATCCATTGCTGCGGTGTATTTTATTAAACGAAAATCCCGTCTGTTGCAGTGGCAGTCAAAAAGAAAAATTAAAATGTAAACGAAGAACAGCTGTTTCACTATTGAAAAGCTTTCACCGCAATTGGCAACTAAAACGAGCTTTTCGCTTGTCATTATTGACTGTGCATACCTATGACAACAGTTGATGACACGATAATGACAATTGAACTGTGACAATTGACTGTTACAACACGCGAATAGGGCTTTTAATCAATATTGAAAAAATTCCCATTTTCAAAAATTAAAAAAAGCATATTAAGTACAAATAATATAAACAAACCGTCTTTATTTAAAAAACATAAAAATACATTTAGTAACTTTTTAGAACCATATCGGTGGCTGAGTGAAATATCAGCCTATCTCGGCAGCATGTGACCCAGGTATAATCAAAAATCTGCGAAACCTCTCGCTCGACGGCCCTGGCTACGTACATTATAAAAATAATACTGACTTTCTAACTTTTCCCTAATATGTCAGCTCCTAGCATTTGGGTTTCACTAATCGATGGCGCACACCTTCATGTGTAGATTTTTATGTATGCATGTAGCGGTCATAAGACGCCCACCTAAGATGCTGGAAATTGCTAAGCAAATTAAATCAGACAAAAATCTACAGATAGCTTTATAATGAAAACAAAATTGCAAAAAATAACTAATTTAAGCAGTGAGTAATTGCATAGATCAGCCGGCCTCATTCTCCATAAATTATAAAAAATAGGCGTACATTCATGCGTACACTTGTATGTAATTTGTTAAATTTTCATATTCCATTTTGAACCGACTTCAAACAAGTAATTGTTAGCAAAAACATAACCGACTAAAATTCTCATATAAAAATTTAAGAGTAACGTTAATTTCTTCAGGATCCATTGATCGTATCTAAACCAAGCGACCACCCTTGTGGTACCACCTTTCTGACGAAAAAAAAGAATTATCGAAATCGGTTTACGTGTTTTTTAAATGTAATGCTCAGGTACAGCGAATTTTTTACAATACGGGAAACTATTTTTTAAATATTTTATTTTTCGCAAATTTTTTTTTATAAAATTATGGTTAATTCTACACCAAAAACCCCAATAATCATAGTTCTAAACCTTGTGCAAAATTAAAGAAAATTCTGCAAAATTTCTTTCAAATAATGTACTTTTTATTTATGCTCTTTAGAAAAAAGTTGAGTACGCAGTTTTTAGCCCATTGAATTTTGGTATAATAAAGTGCAAGTATGAGGAAGCTAGGACTTACCATTGATTTTTGGGAAATTTTTTTGTTGAAGGTGTCGCACATTTTTTCCATATAAAAAAATTATCAAACATTATTTTATATGGAGAAAATGAGCGACACCTTCAACAAAAAAAAAATTGCTAAAAATCAATATAATGCCTAGCTACTTCGACCTTGCACTTTTTATACTAAAATTTAATTGTCTAAAAAACTGCGTACTCAACTTTTTCCTAAAGAGTGTAAATAAAAATTGCAATATTTGGTTGAAAATTTACAGAAGTTTCTTTACTTGTGCATAAGGTTTGGAACTCTGTTTTTGGTGTTTTTGTTATAGAAATAAGAATATTTTTTATAAAAAATTACGAAAAATTAAATATTTAACCTGGTACCTAAACTTTATGGACTGACTGTAGATACATACAAAATATAGGTATGTGTATTCCGACGAATTGATGACCTCCTCCTTTTTTTGAAGTTGGTTAAAATGGTATTTTTTTTGTATTTTGCGACCTTATAACCAGATATGGGCGCTTTTGAATGAATTATTATTCAAATAAAAAATAAAATTTCATTCATAATTTTTCTAAAATTTATTCTTCATTCAATCACTTTCGAATGATGAATAAATATTGATTCATCATTCAAGTAATTTCAAATAACGAATATCTAAATTTTTATTCTTTATTCAATCACTTTCGAATGATGAATATACGAGTATTTTCCAAAAATGACCGAAAACGGTCAAAAAGGTTGATTTTTAAATGGAAATGGAGCAACATTTTTTGGATATGACCGCCGAAATGTTGGACTTCCTTCTCTGTGGCTACGTGAAAAGTATGGTCTATGCCAATAATAACGAGATTATTCCAGTACTGAAGATCGAAATCATATGCGTTATAAATGATATACGGCTTGAACTATACCAAACGGTCATGAAAAATCTCGACACATGCATCCTGTGTTGACAGAGGAGTCGCGATGGACATTTAATGGATATTCTGTTTCATACATAAATGCCGTAGACTAAAAACCATGAATAAATAAACAAATGATTTCGACAAATTTTGTCTTGTTTTAGTTATATATACTTAAAAGAAAATCTCTGATATTATTGAATCAACCTGTATTTTTATTGTTTAAAAACGGGCATTGCTTTATATAAGTATGTAATGGTCTTTCAGATGAAGCTTCCCATATTCTATGTCACGAATCGCACAAACTGAACCACTGTTCGATTTTGAGGTCGCCGTATGAACGGTTTCACGACTGTGCCACTTTTGTCGGTTATTTAAATGCGTTAATGTCTACAAAACCAAATTTGCATTTGTAATTCACCATATGTAAATTAATAGTCATACATATGTATAAAATTATGTAAGTTGTATATCTACTAAAACAAATTTGCCCAGACGTACAAAGGCAAATTAATATACAAGTGTACATATGTATATGTATGTACATACATACATATGTATGCATATATGCATGTGCATCAGAGACTCAGATTAATTATTATTTCATGGTGGAGCTTTAAAAAAGCCGTAAAAATTTTCGTAAGAATTATAAAAGTCCTTTGGTAATAATTATGTGTGAGAAATTTTTTTTAAATCTATTTATAATATAAGTCTTAAAATAAAAGTCTGAAGACTTAAAAATATTTATCTCAATGATAATTATTATGAAAGGCCTTTTATAAAATAAGCCATAATCATTATGAAAAGCCTTTTATAATATAAGTCCTTGAATAATAACTAAAGATGACTCGAAATATATTTATCTTAATATAATGATTATTGATTGACTTTTATTCTTTTCTCTGAGTGATTGACTTTTATTATGTCTCTGATATACATACATAGTACATATGTATGTAAATCCCCTGTAAGAACAGCGAGCACTCACCTGCATCTGCGCCAGCCTTGAATTAGCTGCTGCGACACCTTGTGACGCCATCGCCAAATATGAATCGCTACAACAATCCAAACACAATTTCTAAATAACAAATATTCCAAAACGTTAATGTGACAACGTAGCTACAGCGGTGCTGGAGGCGGCAACGGCAACGACGACGACGGCAACGGCAACGACGACGACGGCGACAAACCAAAACAAAGAACCGATGCTAATTTATTGTTGCGTCTGTTATTATAATTGGCGTATTGTTGTTGTTGTTATTTTTGTCTGTCTCCCGCCTTAAGCGCGTGCGGAAGGCAGCTCCAACACAACACTCTACTGTTGCTATGTACTTAGCTGCTGAGCTCTAATCGCTATCTTTTGCAGTAGCACTGTCTCCGCGCGTTTGTATGTACCAAGGAAGCGTGTGGGCTGGCCTGGCTGTTACGCCTGTCGTTGATGTTGCTGTTGCTCGAAAGCGCGTTCTTAACTTGTTTGTCTCGAAATCTCGCGTCCCACAGCTACTTGATTGCCTATTGGGGGATTGAAAAACAACGAAACGTTAAACTAACTGCTGACGGTAGACGCGTGCACCCTGCGCCGCTCTGCTCACCTCGGCGTGCTGGTGACGTGTCGTCGAATGATTCACGTTTCTCAGCTGTAGCTGTGGAGCAAAGTGTCTTCTTGTTGTTCAGCTATGATTTTAAAGCGTTTTTGAGCGTCTCTTTATAATTGGTTGTTTATGAAAAATGCTCTCAGGCGATTATAAACCGGTGTGGAGGTCTCTTACTGCTGCTGCAATTTTTTTTTTTGTTAGTATTTTTTATAATGTTGCTGATGGTGGTACGAGTAATTACTATTGTTAAACTTTTGCCTTTTTTTGGTGATGATGCGATCAGTCGATTCGATTTTGCCTTGCGCCGTATTGTTCGTATAGAGGAATTTTGTTAAATGTTTGCGCAGAGATTAGCCAAACAATTGTGATCATCAAAAATATTTTGCTAGTATTTTTCGTTGAAATTAAAGATTTGTATTACTGAGTTGAGTAGTTTAGCAGCGGAATTCTGTAAGAAAATTGTATACAATTTTATTTAATTAATTTCGTTAAATGCAATTTATTTTGTCCATAATAGGCAAATCAAATACGAAAGAAAAAATACTTTTTGGGCGACTCGAAAGTAATTGGCCCAATTTTCAAATTAGACATTAATTTGTTAACATGGTCATTGTTGTTGTTATTGCCATTGCTATTGCGGCTGCGCTCATCCCACGCGTTTGAAAGTACAAACATATGGACATACAAACATAAATATATATGTGTACATACATACATACACACTTATGACTCAAAGTGCTTAAATAATTCACGGCGAGTTGACCAAAATTAATTGAAGTTACAACAAAACACCAAACGAATTAAGCTGATGCCACATGAAACGCTTGCTTCGCTTTACGTGACAGATTCGCTTTGACAGCTAAGATGAATTGTATGAAAATGCACAAAGCATGCCACATAGATCATTGAAGCTGCAGCGCGAAGCGAAAAGATGGCCAACTCCCATCTTTTTGCGCGCTTTGACAATCAGCCGGTTTAATATTTATTTTGTTTCGTCCAAATTCGAGTATTCATGCTGAAACATAAAACTCAATTACATTGCTGATAATTTTAAAGCAAAATATCTTAAATCCACAGCAATTTTGACGAGTAAAAAAGCAGTGCAAAATTGATTTCTTGGCGTTCATTGTGGCATACCTTTTGCGTCTGGCGCTTTGCTGGCAAATTTATAAATGTCACGCAAAGCTACAAAGTTTTATCTGGCATCAGCTTTATAGCCTCATTTCTTTGCCGCTGATATACGTATGCACATACATATGTATTTTATTCCCACAGCACGCGCTCTTATTTATTTAGTCACACTTGTGTGTAGGTTCACGTAAGATTTTTATATGATTTATTTTTTGCAATATTTTTATTTTTATTTTTTCAAATTACGAGCACCGCAATAAGTCGAAAACAAACTTAATTGAGACCTGAATGAATAATAAATAATAACAAAAATTATACGAAAACAAGTGACAATTTTTTATCCGTACTTTTCTTTCTAATGCTATAAAAAACTTACAGTGTTGGACATATCGAGCCCTAACCGCCAAAATAACGTAAGCGACATTTTCTTCAAAACTTTCTTTTTGATGCAGAAATGCATCTAGATGCTCTAGGAATATTTCTGCATCAAAAAGTAAATTTCTAAAAAAAGGTCGTTTTTGGCGGACCAAATTCAAAATAATATCGTTTGACGCTTATGTATGTTTATTTATTAATTTTTAAGATTTTCCAACTATTTAACACCAGCTCATTCCATTACAAATACCATACAAACCCAAGTATAAAACTTTGTAGAACACTGAAAAACAAATTCATCAAATTTTCGTCCAAGTTTCTAACTTTGAGAGGGAAGTTAAAAACAAAAGGAGAAATTATAGCTAAATAAGCAGGCTACTTGATCCATATGCCACCCTAACTGAAAAAAAAATGTTTCAAGCTTGTAGATCATAAAAAAGCAAAAAAAAAAAAATTAAAATTTGTTTGCAAAATCTGTCCGTACCTCCGTACCTCCTAAAAACCGTAGCTCCTAAACATTTTTCGCCACGAAATCTGAAAATTAGAATCGTAAAGCTTGAAACACATCTTGTCAAGAATCACCGAAAATTTTTGTAATTTTTTTGCCCCTTGATAGGTAAAACCAAGACATGGTCTCATCCATTTTCGTGAACCCCCCTTACATCTTTTGAATCCCCATTTTGTCATGCCAACGTCGACCCGTCGAGTCCACCTGGATGCCTTTGGGGGAATCACTGATAAACTGGATCCCGGGATCCCGACCTTTTTTAGTCCCGAAATTACGGGATTTGTAATTTGCACAGATGGCAATAGTAGAAACTACTTTTCATGACCAGTATTGGCTATATCTCTAATTTAATAATTAATATTTTTTTTTACAAATGTCATTATACATATAACACCGTGCGATGGTAAATTTTACACACAAAAATCAATATATTTGCGAAGCCACGGGCCAAATATAGGAAAATTATTTAAAAAATTCAGTGAAATCTGGTTAAAGAAGAAGTATAGGTATCAAATTAAAGAGGAAATTCTGTAGAATTTCTGTGGAATTTGTATTGAAAATGAATTTAATTAATCCTTGAAATTTGTAATATTTGTTTTTGAAAAAAAAGTATATGTTAAGGACTTATGTAAACTCGATAACATCCTCGAATTTCGTCCTTCTAACTTTATCAGATTAAAAAATTACCTACTCATCCTTGTGAATCCAAAAAATATTTTTTTTTAGTTTCTAAAGAAATTTCCTCTTTCATTTGGTATCTACCCAAATTTTTATTTTACATTGCATTGAATTTTTTAAATAATTTTTGGAATTAATCATATCTTTGAAATTACAAAGTTCTTTACAATAAATCCTGACGTCAGAGAGCGAAAAAAATGCCACTTTAAATAAGCAAGTAGGTTTCAAACCCATTTATTTATTATTTATTTTATGGTAGGAGAGATAGAAGCAATTTTTTCCATTTAAGTTTTGAAAAGTAATGAATATCCCGGGATTGTGATAATGACATCCCGAAAATCCCGGGATCGTAAAAATCGAAAAAATAACATCCCTAATACATACATACATAAAAGCTAACCTGCAATTTGTAGTAGTAGAATAACCTTGAAGTGGACATTTTTCCCACTAGAATTTTGAATTTTTAACACTATCCAAACGAGCAAGTTGGTTTTACTTATTTTTCTTTTCCTTTCAGTTAAAGTTTTAATGTATAGATATAAATGCATAAGTACATGCATATCTACACACCGATTACTATCTACTAAATTCCCACAAGTGTCACATCTACCTACATAGGTATTTATATATGTATATGTACCAGGGATATTCCGAGTATTTGCATTCGTATTCGTTATGCGAATGATTCGCACCATTTTACCCATTCGCATCAAATGATACGAATGTTTTACGCATGCGCATGTATACATGGGCAGAGCGTCCCCTCTAATATTGTTGAAATGGCTTTTAGTCTGTCTAACCAGGGTGCGGACAATAACAGGCTTTTAGCTTCAGGCGCTAAACGGTTAAGTAGTATATCAAGCAACATTGTTGGGCCGTCAACAAGTACTGCTAAAAGTCTTATAAGCAACCTAGAAATAATTCGCGAAATTCGCGAAAGCGAAGGCACGGATGTAGAATCTGGAGACATTAAAAAATGTAAATTTAAAGCTCAGTTGAAGGTCTATCTTAAAGAAAAATGAGCTCATCTCGGTGAACATCCTCTCGATTGATGGAAAACTAAACTAAAATACGACAAATTAACAGATCTGGCCCGCAAATGTTTCAGCGCTGCACCCGCCAGCCCTCCAAGTGAGCAGTTGTTCAATGGCCAGCGTTATATACGAGCCTCTAAAAAATCACCTCATGAGAGAAAAGGCAGCAAAAGTGCTTTTTTGAAATATAATATGCCCCTTTTGAACTTTGACTACTAGATTTAAGCACTGTATAGGTTAAGCACTCGTTCAATGTTCTAGTAATTTACAAAGTTTTTGAGTAATAAAAACTATGACTTAAGTTTATTAAAGCTTTTTTAATGTTATTCCTAACATTCGCATTCGCATATTCGCACATTGACATTCGAAACATCTCTAGTATGTACATACTTGTGTGCATAGTAGGTGCGGCGCTAACACTGGGCAAGTTGGTTGACTTTTTTTTTAACGCAGAAAAACACTATCAAAATACTTCATATAACACTACTATGAATACATAAAAACTCTGCAGGAAATTCACAAACACGGAACTTACAATTTGATCAGTTTGCGGCAAGGGAAAAGGAATTATGATCCATATGATATTCGTATCGAAATGCCTAAATGTAGAATGTTATTTTTCGACAGAGTACTGGAACTTGGTACTTGGAAAAGGGGGCGTGGTACCTCTCATACACATTGGAAACTCACATAATGCTTATTTCTGCAAGGATTTGAGACATGGTACTGCAATTTATGTGGAGAGAGGTACATACATATGTACATATATGAAACCAATACCATACTACTGAAGTACTGAAATTGTTTGTTGAGGTTTATGTTTCATGCCCACGTGGCATATCCCTGGAACCACTTTATCATATTTCCGTAACAAAGTCTACCATGTAGACGAGATTTTATAAAGACTAAATTTTCAATGCCCTAAGTTCCTAACTCGCCTATAAATACCTACAGCTCTATTAAAATGAAAGCAGAAATAAAATATTATATCATGTTGAAATACATATTTACTTACACATATACTACGAGTTACGTTGATATATAAACGTGGAGTGAAACCTGCGGATACTTATAAGCTAGCCTCGAAAAATCATCGAACCATGCCTTTTTTAGAAACAGAAGTTTATGAATGGTATGCGCTGTGCTGCGGGTAGCTTGAACTTCATTTACCCTCCACGAGCAGAAATACCAGCGTACTCCTTATAAAACTTTTGTCATTTAGTAGCCTGGATGGAAGAGAATATTTTATTTTCAAGCAAAACAAATGCCTCTTGGCACAACACTACTTTTCTTCTGGGACCATACATTTTTTTCACACTTGAATAACATGGAATGCCTTAATTCGATCAGATTAAGGAGGAAATACTCGAGTTCCAGATTTTGGCACTCCTAGTAGTATATCCTTGCCCTTCCATTCATATCTGGTTGCGGTAACTTCAGAAGTATTTATCTCTGCCACTATCGCTAAGAGAAATTCCCATCACAATCATCAATTCAAATGGGCCCCGTCCCACAAATCCTCAAAGGGCATTTTACATAAATATGTTGTAGCTCTCATTATACGTAGTTACTCCTTCGCCAATTATGTTTTGTACCTCTCTTAGAACTTATTCTGTGAATAATGCTGGTATTCTCATCTCAAGTCACTAAATATGAGACTATAAATTTGTGACAGTTCATGCAGTATGCTACACATGTATCTATGTATGTATATCATTGCAACAGTTGCAATGTCCGAGTGAGCAAATAGTAACGAGTGATCTGAGGTTCGAGTCCTCGGAGCTGCGAATTTTTTTTAATTTAACTTTTTTAATTGAATTTTCCTTTAATTTTTCGATTTTATTATTTCAAAAAGAAAATTATATTTATTTTGATTTCATTAAATTTTTTTGGATATTAAACTATTTAGGTTTATTTTTTAATTTTCGCGTTTTATAGAGTTAAATCGAAAGCAATTATCTTTTCCTCAATATTTTTCATTTTGTGACCTGCTCCGAGCCAGCTGCCAAACTAGTATTTTTTTTTTATTTTAACTAGAGACGTGAAACAACTGAATACCAACTGGTTTCAATATCAATGTTCAACACGAAAAGTATCTATTAGTAACTAGAGACTGCTTACCGAATACCGATATTAGTTTAATGAATACGTTCAATAAACTTTTTCCTACAGGGCGTGTGAGTAAATGCAAATTTCCAAGCACGCGTTTACCGATATCGCACTGGGAGTGACCGCATTCATTGCAGTTCCCTATTTTCACCATATTTTATTGTATTAACACCGACAGGCTCGCGCTTATTTCTTTCTTATGTTTGTGCGTTAGAAGGATTTACAAGTACATACTTATGTATGTATGTATATTGACTTTGTACAGATCCCTAATAGTCGTAAACACGGCAATTATTGTAATTCACTCGAACGCCGTTAAGCATGGCCCTTTCCTCCTCAAGCTGCCCACTTAAAAATGTGACAATATATAAGTATATATGTATATACATGCAGACATATGTACGTACATACATACATACAAATGTATTTGCCTATTTGCTCTGGGAAGTTCGCGGAATGAAAGCTATTACGTGTCCTCCAGCTACACCACTTTTGTTTGAAGGTATTTGAGGAGGTGTGATGACATTCGAACAGCAATTCGAAAGTATCAGCTAGCAATGTGTGTGTGTGTATGTACATTAGAGTGGTCCAAAAAAAATGTTTTTCCGAGTTAGGGTTGGGGCAACCTTCACAAATTTCTCCTCTTGCCGAAAGAGATGCTGACATCGAACATTACGTTTCTAAGTAAATATATGTAAATTTAGAGAATGCTCATGAGATGTTTATATTTTACTCTAGAATTATATTGTCCATATATTAACCAAGCGATTGGTTAACAGGATAACCTAATATACACGTACGCCGCCAATTGATTGTCAAAAATTTCTCGTACACATGCAACTTGTATGGGACCAACCGAAATTGAAAGGCGTGCGTATGAAGCTAACTCAATTTCCAATTTTTGTTCTGCGTTGACATTTAGATTTGACGTTTCGTTCAATAAAATCAAATGCAAACGCACGCTAGCCAATTTCGGGTGACGCATAAAACCAAATTCGACGGCATGCGTACCAAAACGCAAGCCGCGAATATTAGGTTAGACTGAAAGCAGCTTAAAAATATTTAAAATTTAAATTTGCTGAAAAAATGTAACCAGCTTCAGTTGGCATAGCAACACTAGCTTTTTATAAAAATTATCAATATTTTTGCCAACCTCAGAGGGATGCAGTAGCGCATTTCGAAGTCATTGAGCGCCCTGTATTGGTTACAGCAGAAAATTGAAAGTTGATATACATAGATACATAAATACACCCCCATACAATACAAATACAATTTTGGCCACCCTAATGTACACATGTGCTTTCCCAATTGCAAACAACAACAATAACCGCAAAAATTAATGGTATTTGGCAAGTTAGCAAGCAACTTAAGCATGAACGATGGATAAATAGCAAAAATTATGATAATAACTAGAAAAGCCGAAAATATTTAGAAGTTGTAGAAAAAAATCATACTCACCATATGCTCATACTAATCTATGTATGTATTTTATTATCTGCTCGCTTTTTGAATCTTTTAAATGCTGTTCGTTTTCGATGCTCATCAATGCTTCTTTTTCGCTTTAACAATTACTAGTCTCTATTGCAGATTTATTTTAGCGATTCAAATCCATCTATAGAGTATAGTTTTTTTATATTTTTTGATATTTGTTGTCGAGTGGAATGTTATGGATTACTAACGCGTGTTTCATTCACCTTTATCTAGTTACTACAAAAACAGAAAAAAAAACAATTTTTATTTTCGCTTTGATTATTCGACTTAATGGAACTGCAGTAACTCTTCTGTTTACTTAGAAGTTTATGCGAAGACTGTCGAGCGCATTGTTTGCGAAAACTTTTGTAACCGACTTTACCCATTTCGACTGCACACCAGCAGCTGAGCGCTGCTCCAACAGGCCCTCGCTTTGCGCTCACATGCAAACCACTTGAATGGCTCCAATGCCTCCACAACAGCAGCTAAACTGGCTTCAGGCATACATTATGTACATACATATGTACCGAGAGCTCGCTGCCTCAACGATTCTCATCGCATGAGTGTGAACCCACCCCACAGACATTGAATTGATGAGCTACAATGTATAAAACACAGCCAAATAAAACAAGAAATAAGAAACATAAGCATGAGCAGTGTTGCCAGAGAAAGTCCCTTAAAAATCTTAATTTTTTCAACAAAAATATTCAAAATAAGATTTCACAGCTAAAAAATCTTTACAATACCAAGAAGTCAAAAGCCGGCAAAGTTTCATAACAATTGAGAGCTTTTTAATTCGATTTTTTAAAAAGATTTGGATTATGCAGTTTTGTAGACCATGCAATTTCAGTATGATAAAGTGGCTAGGACTTTTTTTATTTTCTCCATACAAAAACAAGGTCCGTGAAAAATGCTTAACGCTTTCCACTTTTCTTTGGGCCGCTGCGGGCACTAAAAGTACGATCTACTTCAAAACGTTTCGAAATCGCAGTATACGTTTTACTTTGCGAGAGAAGAAGGCAGATAATAGTGGAGGGTATTTCATACGCGCAACGTTTTTATCATAAACAGCATTTTTTTTCTTCCTTCATTTGCTGGTTACCATAATGTAATAAAGTTTAACAATTTTAACTCAAATTTTAAAAACCTTACATCATACACAAAAATCTTAATTTTGAAGATATTTTTAGAAGATCTCTTTTTGAAGATTTTTAATAAAAAAATAGCATGAAAAATCTTAGTTTTGAAGATAAGTCTTCACTTATGGCAACACTGTTTGTGAGTGAGGTTGCATATGTGTACTTAAAATTAAAAACAAAAACACAAGAAAGTTTAAAATAAATTGAAAGAATAGAGCAAAAGTGAAGAGGAGGACAATATGTATGTATGTATGTATGTATGGACAATAAGAGTAATATGCATAAAATATGCTTATGAACTTTTGTAAAACAAACCAAATGCCTCAACTCACCACAAATTCCGCAGAGGCGATTCACCGCAGCAAGATAAATACATATATGTATGTACATAGAAATATCTGCATTTGCATTGCTTGCATTTACATAAATATGTACATACATACATATGTATATACGAACATACATATGCATATGAAGTTAAAACAGGCGCGGCCCTTGCAACAAACAGTATTCGCTGCCTGGGCTCGCTGTGTTTACTTTCAATTACTCTGCCGTTTGACTTGTTTTGGCTTTGCGCGGCTCAATATCTATGTATGTATATTATTGCATCGGCGTCAATTGCCAAGCAAAATCACTTGACTTTAATTAGCAACGAAACGGCACAAGTTGTCGGCGAGCATGCGCAGCTACGACAATATGTACGTTGGCGCGTCTATTAGCTCAGAACAATTTGTCAAAATCATTTTATCAGGCGTGGAACCACGGGGGGGGGGGCGGACTAGGGGAAAGTGCACCCCACAAAAATTTTCACAATAAGTGAACAAAATTGGAACCATTTCCCACCTAAAAAATTGCGGGAGCCTTTGCTTGGTTCATGGTGGAAATAGCTCTGATCCAGTACTCCATGAACTTACTGGGGTTTACACGAACTTGCAGGAAGTTACAGGAAAAATGATCCCATACTCCAAATTCCTCCAAAATCCTGCAAATGGGTGCGATTTTTGGAGAGTTGTGTAGAGAACGATGTTGCAAGATTTTACCCGAACTTTTTCTTCTGGTAAAATCATGAAAAGTGTCAAGCGATCATTGGTTGACGTTTTTTTTAGGAAAAATGCTTATTTTGTTACCGCAATTTTTGTTGCTACTCACTTTTTATACCCACTTCAGAGTGTAATTTTTCTGTTTGACATTTTTACAGGATTTTACACGAAAAGTATGGGATCAGAGCTAATCACCCTAATTGCGAGAGTCGTGACGAATGCAAGTGGTTTTTCAAGAGTCGAATCGTACCGAAAATTTCATGTCATTGCCTAAAATTTCCACTCGACTAATGTATTAAAACGGAAAAACTTGGCAGCACTGTATAGTTTTCGAAGATTTTAGTCGTTTACTTATTTCAGTTCGACAATAGACAATGCTACTGTTGTCGAGTCGTACAATTTAGCTTAATTTATGACTTACAGGTCTATTCTGCACGTTACCGAAGATTTTGTGACCGGAAAATTGTATTACCAAAAAATGTTACCACTTCTTGTCACCGCGATTTTAGGTACGATGGCAACGCAGTGAAAATATTCAGCAACTCAGCTATAAAGATTTGTGGTAATTCCTGTATTGCATATTTCACGGGGCAATATTTTGTTACCAGCTTATGAGATGGTAACCAAATTTACCGGTTACAAGAGAGCACAGAATGCGAAAAGGGTTTAAAAATTTACAGGAACTTTATTTACCGGTTACAAACTTTTTATTACCAGCGCAGAATAGACCTGTTAAAGTTACCTCTTTCTTTACAAAGTACCGCCAGTTTCTCAAAGCAAGTAGAGACAGGTCCTTCTGCATTTGGTTTTTTTTTTTTGTTTGCAATAAAAATATGTTTTTATTTTCTTGTTTTGTTTTGATTTAAGAGGTAACCTAACCTAATAATGTAGTTTTTATTGATTTCATGCCAGTAAAATATATTAAACGTTCAACCAGATTTCATGTCATTAACTTTCTCGAATAGAGTTTGCACTTTTCCATTCAATTGCACTTCAAATTTAAGTCAATTACACTCTCAATGCGTTTTCTATGTTGATGCTACTGAAGTGCTAAGTACGCTTTGTATTCTCTAAACATACATACATATCATACACATTCATACTTAATGCGTTCATACAAATGAAAATGAAGTTTTGTAAATATAGCTCACAACTCATGAACACTGAAGATATTCACAAGTGCAGTCAATTGGAAAATTCCAACTTCAACTAATTGCGGCAATGGCAACGCAGCTGGTTTCCAGTAACCATGTCTAAGTACAATTTGGTGTAGTATAAAAGGCTGAAGAGGTATTTTATGATACATACATATGTAGAATGGTGTTGCTTGAAAATATTCATATGTATAAACATACATAAGTACATACACAATAGTAATAAAGCAATTATAATCAGACAGGGCAACACTGATTTTGGTACGGAGAATGTTAAAGCTGTTTTTGATAGAATTTTTTTGTGCTGACCCTTGACCCTGAGGTCACTTATAGTCAATTATTGAACAACCAAAAATGATTTTGACAAACATTTTTTTTCAATAGCACAATTTTTCAGTAAGTTTTATTGTTGGACGAAAATAATAAATATATTACTATAAGTGACCACAAAGTTAAGGTGAAGGGATGGTATTTTAAGGGATAGTAATGGAGAGTTCTAGCTTTAATTTATTTTTGAACACTTTGACCTCATTTTTGTCAAAATCCGGAGATGATGGAAACTTTATACTTACGAGATCGTAATCAGATGACGGTGGTTCCACAACCTCCTAAGTGCCGCAGATCGAGTGTTACGGCTATTTAACACTCGAATCAGACCACTTACCCATAGCCATATCGATCAATAACCCCACCGAATTTGCTCCCGCGCAGCACGGAACCTACGTCAACTTCAAAAAAAGGTGATTGGAACGACTTTACTTCGTAATTAACCGACAGCTTCTTCGCCGCCCTCCCACCATCAACAAATGTATATACTGGCGAACGCGCGACCATCCATACCAGGTCGCCCGCCTAAAGGACCTTAATTTGGAGATTTAGAAACTCGTAGATCAAGACAAGCGGAAAAAATGGGAGGAGGATTCGTGCCCGAAGCCCAATCATCACCTATCGCAGACACAGCGCTTCGACTGCTTGTGAGACCTGCGTTACTCTGGTCCAATTACGGTCAGAATGTGGTAGACGCCCCAACAGCTATTTGCCCAGAATCGAACCCGATAACCCCATTGAGTGTCCAGCATTTGAAGACGCCAAACACCTCTTCGTATGTCAGCTCAATCCTACTCAGCTAACACCCCTCTCCCTCTGGTCTGACCCCGTCGAAAGAGCTCGTTTCTTGGGAGAGCGTGAAGGACTGTGCAGTTGCACATGTCCTGCTTTGGTCCAGCGTTCTGATCGTGCACGAGACCCATCTGTTGACGAGAAGTCCCATGTAGTCAAAATTACTCCATCTCTCCTTACTTGGGGACACAGACACAAGGGTGCCCTCCGAGGCCAACTTATCCGCAGTGCAGTTTCCTGCTGTAGCCGCTACTTTGCTGCTCTTCCAGCTGGTCGTATAGGTCCACAATCGAAGGAAATAGTTAGAGGACGCCATCTTGTGTATAAAAATTAGCTTAATTATTTATGTTTGTCGGTTCGACCCCAAGCTAAAGATATAATAGTTGCCCCCGGAAAGCTAGTGAAAAGCTCCCTGGGTTTCAACAGTCCTTATGTATGGAGGGGTCGTGCTGATGTACGCATATTGAATTCTTTAAAGGCAATCACAAGGAATCCTGTTCGTAGTGTTGTCGATTTTTTTTTTTTTTTTTTTCGAAAATTGGATATTTTTTAATTAGGCCTTCATAATTTTTGGCTGAATAAGTACATTTGGTTTTAAATTCAGGAAACCACCGTACTGATTTGCGGAATGGGAAAAATTAGTACTATCGTGATTAAATCGGCACGTCTGGCAACCCTACTTGTTTCTAATGTGCGGTTCAAGCAGATGCGAGAGATGTAAGAGCTTTTGCGTGCTTTCGATATAAACGTTACCCTGACAAATCTCCAACCCCTGTACATATATTTTTACATACACACGAAAATGGCGACATGAAACAAGTACCTTTTACTATTTATCGGAAAAACATAGTTATTGGAACACTAAATAATTTATGTAAATTTCAATTCACACACAAAACCACAAAAGGGCGGTTTATTAAATCGCTGACTGTAAGTAAGTATTTTCACAGGCATTTCTCGAACCAAATGGCCTCTTTCTGCTCCAAATCAGTTTCCCCCGGAAATAATAATTTTTCATAATTTTTCCTCTTTTGCGGGGTGTGTACATTTATTTTTATTATTTACTAGCCAATGCCCGCTTACTTCGCGGCGCCTAATAAGAGCTTTTGCGTTAGCCAATGCAAAAGAGCGTTTAAAAACAAAATTAGTCTGTAAAGTCAAAGTTTTTGATTTAAGTTGAAACCACTAAGGCGCAGTATCCTCCTCACACATAGGCAAATAGTAGTAACGCTGTGATACCATATNTTCATTTCATTTATTTTTATTTTTTTTTTGTTCTTATTCAGGCTACATATACATTTCATTTACGTTATGTTACGAAACATAACGTAACATTACATTACATTATAACAACAACATACAATAAGACATCGACGCAATTACAATACATTACAAATTACAATACTATTTCTAGATGTGCCTAGAACAGCGCATTTTGCAAACGAGACCCAAATTTATTTGTTTGTTCTACATTACATACTTACAAACACAGTACATGCAATAATTATGCTTTCTTGTGTTTTATAACACTTCTTACTTCTTATATGTATATTTCTGTTTCATTGTTTTAGTTTCTTATTTTCATAAACATGTTGGTTTGAAAGTTTGAGCGCATTTTGCCATCAGCTGCAAATGCGATCGATCGACCGAAGGCTTTTACGCAGACTCTTTGAAATTAAATACATACATACATATGTATGGGTAGATCCATATCAAATCGGATATGGTCGAATTCAGTTCTTTTCTTCTATAATATGTGACCTGGTCTACGGAAAGGGGGCTTAGGTGTCATAAAATCAATTTTCACTTTTTGGTTGATTCGGATGGAAGATGAGATGCTTTTTACTTTTAACAGCTTTTTCACAGAAAACTAGTTTTCGCACGTAAGCTCCCTTTTCGTAGACCAGGTCACATATAATGAAGTTCTGCCAAGGGAAAAAATTAAAAAATAATATTTTTGAAAGATAATCAAAATTCTAAAGGCTCAGTTTGTCTAGACTTAATTCACGTAACGGAACCTAATACATATATTGGCCAACGCACTATATGTTTCTTCAGAAATATTTTTGGTCTGGCTTATCGGCGGCAAAGTTTAAATCAGCTGGAATGAAAAATACAAATTATTTGCGCTTCTGGCTAAGTTGACGTGTTGACTAATCATTAACAATCTCTTACGTAAGTTAAGTCTAGACTACCTGATTTTTAATTGTCTCGATTTGGGGAATTTTGCAAGTTTATTTTTAGAATATCTAAAACACTATAATTGCAAAAATGGTTTTGGTCTCGTTTTAATGGTGATATTAAGGGTTATAAAACAAATTTAGAGAATTTTGATATTAAAAATTCGCAAAAGCAAAAACTTATAAAAATTTGTGTCTAAACTTTTATACAACACCGATAAACGATCCTGAAATTTTTAATTTGTTTTTTTTTTAAGAAACCAATTTTTGAATATTAAAGTTTCTCTTTGGCAAACTCTAAATAAAGTTATGTTAAACCATTTTTATATAATTTAAATTTACATATATTCAAAATTGCACAAAATATTTTTTTCCAAGTTTCAAAAATTCATATCTTAAAAAAACATCTTAAAATTTTAGAGGCATTTTATAATCCAAAGATTTATATAAATTTATATATATTTTTAATTCGCAAATTCTGGAATTTTTTTTATTTTTCGAATCTTTTTTTTTCAATATATATATTTTTTATATAAAGCCAAATATCACATTTAAAACAAGACCAGAACCCTTTTTGTAACCAGCAGTTTCTGGGATATTCAAAAAATAAACTTGCAATAACCAGGAAATTGTAAAATTTTGAACTAAAAAAAATTTAAATAATTTTTAAATTACCTATTTTTGAATGGGGATTTTTTTTGAAAACTCTAAATAAAGTTATGTTAAATAACTTAAATTTATATTAAAGTTTGTAAAGACGTTTTCTTTCCAAGGTTCAAAAATTCATATCTTAACTAAATCACCGGAGCTTTTAAGATCAGTTAGAGGCAGTGTGGAAAAAAATGATTAAAAAATTTATATACATAAGCTTGTG